ATGTTTTGATTGTGATAACAGTCCTCGCTATATAAGAGGACCATTTAGTACACTCCGAACCACTGCACACGCTGCTCGGGTGGCAGCTGGACGTGCTCGTAATAATGAATAAGGACTTACCATGGTATAGCGGCGGTGGTATACCAGCAACGACAAGAAATGAAGTGAAAATGAACTCAAACAAGCACAAGAATGACTAATATCAAGTATTATCAAGTTAAGCCACGAGTTCATTTCATTTACTTACATATCTTAATGAAAAGAAGCCGCTCCCACAAAAAAGAAGATTTAGGATACAAGAACACGCTATAGATAAGTTTTTTAATTACCTGACATTATTATAAAATTTGAAAAAATAGGTGAATAACTATCATGATAACATTTCGATTTAGTTAATAGCGTGAATATCGCTAACTATCTCTTTTCCTTTTCTTCTTTTTGGAATATGATCACCACTAACTCTTTCATATGATATAGTTATAATTCAAAAACTCACCATAAGCTATCATTATAATAATAAAAAATAACATGTTGAAATAAAAATTATTATCATGGAGTTATAAAAATATATTTTTCAAAAATTATCCTATACAACTCATTATTCCTTCTTTCCCTTACTGACGAGCAAAGAAGGATATATAACTCGTTTGGTTTCCGTCTAAGGGCACGTGCGAAACGGAATCCTTGTATTGACCCCATGTAATAATTAACAGCTAAATGTGTGGCTAACAAAGAATTTGTATCAAGTACATCACAAGCAACAATAACTTCACTATACTATATTTTAAGCTCTGCCCTCTCTCCGATTTGTCCCTTGACTAGCTGCAAGACGACGTAATCCAACGTTACTAAGGTTTCGAATCGAGCTGCTGCAACAACTTAGTGATCCGGTTAAAGGCAACAGTGGAGCTAAAAATTTGCGCACAGTTCTGCTTTGTAAACTGCTTTTTCCAGCTCATTGAGACTTACAGTTCCAACTTCTACTGCCCTAGAGTAGCCATGTGTCGTCCGATCTCCACCGCGTTCAGCGGTCCCTAAGCTGGTCGTACTGTCAGGAACCTGCAAGGCAACTCCGCTTCCAAAAGCGGTAGAGTGGGACTGGTCACTAAAGGTTACTGCAAGGCTCTGCGAGAAGAAAAAACACCGTGGGGTATTTTAACAGGGTTACTCCTTCAGTACAGGGTGACATCTCCCCCGGCGGCAGGGAAGTCGCCCGAGGGAATACTATTGAGAAAAACCTGATAACAGCATTCGGATGTTTGTAAAGCGGGAAGCAAAAAGATAAGTACTATCGCTTGTAGAAAACAAGTGAAGTGTTCGTACGAGTTCGTTTACTGCGACTACTTCTGTGCTCGACCTTGTCAACAGTTTTTATTAACTGTCAATCAAAAGAACAACACGCAATACAGAAGCAAGCAGTAACAATAACGAAAGCAACAAGCAATGATCCACAAAAGGCATTGGTTGTCAAGTAGCTACACTTGGCAATAAACCTGAAAACGCAAAATGTGGAAACACTCACCAAGGTCGGAATCCTACTCACTCCGGGGAAGGCGACGTGTTGGGAAAGAAGCAAGCGATAAACTAACTTCACTATCTGACTCTTGGCTCGGTTTCATATAATATCGTATCTTTCTTGCGACAGGATCGTTCATCATCAAATTAACCACCTCCTACTTGCCCACTAACGGCGTAACATGTGCTTCTCTTAAGAGTTGTATTCGCCTGCAGGCCGCCGTTCATCTTCCTCTTCAACAAGCATACTAAAGCCGACCACAATGAGAGGAGAAACGAGAGAGGAATTTATTATTGGGCCAACAACTTCAAATTCGCTACTTTTGAAAATGGATACAAGTGGACATCAGCGATCATCAATTAGGTGTGAAGTTGTCGAATATACGATGCTTTCTGGAATACGGAGCCATGAAACATGTGGACCTCTCAAAAGAGCCGTTCCAGAAGACGAAGCTATCTCGACGACAGAAAAGAAAGACTGAGTGAGAGGATAGGTGGGTGCTGAGACTATCTTGTCGAAAACATGAGCTGAGGTGAAGAGCTTGAAGGAATGGAAAGATCGACGAAAGAGAAAGGGCCATTATACAGGATTGACGTGTTAGAACACGTCGACATGTTAAGCCACGTGGAGGACGAGAGGAGGATAAACGGCGTAGAAGCCATTCCTTAGGTACTAGATGCACCTACTACGTAGTTGCAAACGCTGCCGCAGTCCTATCAGCAACAGGAGCCGTCACTACCTTGGGTGTCAGTGCAGGTTGGTGGAACCCTGGCGCCAAACTCACTCCGTTGATGGCGCCTCCAGGGCACACACCAGCCATGGCCGAGCACGCCAAGCGATAGCGCCTATCGCGAGCTCCTGTGGTGGAAGTATGGACCCCAAGAAGGATCGCGAATAGCGGTCAATGTACCAAGAGCCACATGAACTCCAGATGGTGTATGTCGGACTCATGACAAAGATCCACGAGGGCGCTGATAGAAGCTAGGAAGATTTGCATCAGAAAGTGGTAGCTGTTGAATATGTGGTTCACAGTTTGAAACTATGTGTTATTCAGTTACAACTTGGTTGCTGTTGATCTTATTTTTGCATTGTTTGAATTAATTATGTTCTTTTACATTTTTATGTTCTTGTGTTGTTTGCTAAATTTAAGATGATTCTTTACTTGCAACTATATATTGCATTGAGTAAAGACTTTTTTGTAGGAAAGCTTCCCAAAGAGATAGCTCAGTCCTCAGTTACTGGTCATCATGAGTAAGGAGGTGAGCATTTACATTCTTCTTACTAATGTTTATTTATTACTATTTGTACGGCTATTTTTACCGTGTTAGCACTGCAGAATGATTAATTGTATATGCTTTTTCAAAATTATTATTGCATGGATGCTTCTCCTTTTTCTTTGTTATATAGGTTACAGTCATTTATGTATTGTATTGAGGTTTATCTCAAAGGTTTTTCCTTCCTGTTGTATGTATTGTCATGGTTTTTAATTTTGTGATATATTTTTTATAGTTTGATTCTGCTAAAAATGCCTATCTTTTCATGGATTCTCTAGTTTTTGATTTGTTTTTTGGACAGTACTTCAAATTCGATTAGTTTAACTTAGTTTTCTAATTGTTTCAATTAAACTATTAGTTAGGATGTTATGCTTTTATTTAATAAAGTCATTATGGATAACGCTTTTGTAAGACGTGTGATGAAAACTTCTACATTGTATTCAGACTCTTCCAGTTGTCTCACTGTAAAGATCAAGTCTATCTTCAAAGCCTTCTTCGGTGCATATTCGAGCGGTTCTTGGGATTTCTGAATATATTGTGTTGGTTCTTATACGATTCGAAATGTTTGTTCTGGCATTCGGAAGCCTTCTTATATTGATGTTGAAATTGTCTGGTTTACTGAACATTTCTGCATAAATTTTGTTTGCTATGATATGAATTTCTGAATCTAAATAATTACAGTTATTTTCGTTTCATCTTCCAGGACCTCCTGACGGTGCTCTTCGTTGATCGCTGTCTACCACGCACCAATAGTGTTCCTGTCCCACTATCTATAATACATACTGAGGATCACCTACCTTTGCTGCGACCTTCGCCATGAACATCGCCGCTCTTGTCTTCCAGGGCCTCCTATCGGATCTTATCAGCTCCCTTTTTTTCCTTCCCCTTTCCAGGGGAAACATCTGGCCTGTCGCGCTAACTTTGTGAGTCATAAGATGGAACTATGTACCGTTTTCTTCCGGACTGTGCAGATCGTGCTAGCAACAGAGTGGTAAATGTTATCGTTTCTGTAATCTGGAATGGATCACAACAGCGGGAGAGGGTGGTAGGTTATTCAATCATCAACTCTGTTGAGCTGGTACGTTTTACTTTTTGACGTCAGGGATTCTTTGTAACTTCATTGGCTTTCCCGTAACCTTTGTTTTTTGTTGTTTTGTTGTTTTTTGCTTGTTGTGTGGAGGTGTCAGAAGCGGTACAAAAATGTGGTTTTGTCTGTGTGCTGTTCTCGAGAAGTGTCTCTAGACCAGCCAAGTTAGTGGAGCTTGTGAATGTACAGGGAGGGACCCAAAAAGACATTTTTTCCCTTGACTTTTAGGGCGATGTAACTTGCAGTTTTTTTAAATTTTGATTGGACACTTTCACCATCATATTCAACAACATGTTGTACTTTATATTGCTAATATTCTAATATAAAATATATGTTATAACCTTTGATGTGTATTTATATTGATGTATATTTCTTTGGATGTAAAGTTAACGTACTTATTTCTCTCCTGTTCATCTTTCTTTGGGAGCGTAGACGGAACTGAAGCAAAGACAATGTGGGGTTTCCGCGCCACCAAGGCTACCCACTGGCAATCTCTGATGAAAACAACCAGCATATTAGGGCAGGTGAGCAGTAGCACAGTAATCGCAGCTTCAACAACCGAAGGTGACAACACTGTGACGCAAGCCCGAATTGGGTGGACTAACCTAGCCGTAAGTCTACAGAGTGTTGGTTCACTAGATGACGACAAACCACGACTATCTCAACATGAAATGAGGAAGGGCCACGAGTTAAGTGGCCTGATTTTGTCGGTGACCAGAAAATTGAGATTTAATAAAGACCAAGCCATGCTGATAGTGAGGACGAGCGCACCACCGGGAAGTCAGGCGAACGACCAGATCATATCTGGTGATTGGCCTGACCCCTGGTGGCAGTGGATCCTTGCTGGAGCACAGGCGGCTCTGCCCGAACTATTGGCTGGCAACTATTTCAGCGCAGCGCTTAGCGGTATTGGGGCGGGCATACAGTCTTTCTTGGAGGAGCGGAGAGCCAAACAGGCAAAAGAGAAAGAGAAGAGGACACGAACATCGGCAGATACATACGCCGAGAATCAAATGGAGGACACGCCCCTGGACAACTTACCGCCGAGTTAACCCCACAACTACACCTAACCTTCGAATGGGACGAAAGACTGTGGCGTTGGGTCCTGAACGTGTTGAACGATATGGACACCAATGTCAAGAAGAAGAAATGGAAAATTGATGAAGACCTGGTTAGGTGTAGATATCAAGACCGATACGATAGTCTCGGCATATATAACCGACCAATGACCTTTTGTTTAGACTTATTCCGGAATATGGACAAGATGTATGACTTAAGGTATGGCCCTGGATCAATTCTAACAAAAGTAATCACCAGGGCGTTAACCACAGCAGACCCAGAAAGCGCATGCTTCTGGCTGCTCAACGATTTGTCAAAAATACTCGAAACAATCGATTCAGATAAGATCAAGCAGGCAGGACTATTCATCGGGTTAGAGAGAACAACTCCACCAGCGGAATTCATCAAGGATGACCTCATTGCAGACGCACGGGCCTGGGTATGTGAACACGACAAATGGGGAGCATCATGTAAAAACTGGATATTGAACGAGATGGCAGAGATCGAACGTGAGTGGACCGCCAACGCCCCTACTGGTGATATGCTGTCATTCGAAGAATACTGCGAGGACCCAGCCAGATGGGCAACCTCAGGCGGAGCCCCAAAGGTAAAAATGCTAGGAGAGGAAGTGCGCTCAATGTGGGCATGGGCCTTCGACTGTAAGAGGAGAGGGGTGTCAATCTATGAACGAGCGAAGAAGAGCCCAAATGTTGCCCACGTAGCACTGAAAGAGGAGAGCAAGAAAACACGGCTAGTGATCACTACCCCAATGGCTTCATATTTGAGGCAATGTTACATGCTATATCGGTCAGGTAAGTGTGTCAGCCTGTCCTCACCAATTTCAGATCACGACCTGATAAAACGAATGATGGTGATGAGTCACGAACAATATGTTAGTGTAGATGCAAAAGGATTTGACCATCAGATTCCGTTATGGTTTATCCAAGAAGTCGTTCGGATGGTAGGCAGAGTAAGTGGATGTCAAGAACTCGCTGACGAGGAACTTCGGTCAATGCAGGGGATGAAGGTTGAACTTTTCGGAACCAACATAAAGTACCACGGTGGTGTGTTGAGTGGATGGAGATTAACCTCCCTGATCGGATCTATGGCTTCAGAGTTCTTGTGTCGATTTGTGGCCTCCCGCGTGCCTATGTTACGATGGGCAGTGCTGGGCGACGATGTGTTGATGATGGGTAAGTCACTGCCAAAAGATATCATCGAGACAGCCATCAACACATTCGGGCTTATACTCAAGGACCCAGTTCAGATCAAGAGCGTGGGAGTGTTTCTGCAACGCATCTATGGAGGTGGACCATCGATAATGTGTTTCGGAAGATCATTGAAACAACTGTTTTACGCCAACCCATGGGTTGAGAGACTGCAGTTCGCGACCCCGGAATCACTAGCTAATGGCTGGTTACAAGCCATATCTCGTATCCCTGGCATATTGCATAGGCAATGGCTACTAGAACAAGCTTCGTTAGATATGGCGAGATGGGCGCGATGGCCAGGGTGGGGCAAACAACGGTGGTATGAACTGCTGACAACAGATAGCGGATACGGCGGCTTGGGCACCATGGATACACACATCGTTCGTGATTACATCCCAGCAATCAGGACAACGGTTGAGGAGACCAAGAGAGGACATGAGACATGGGAAAAACTATATTCTATACTAATTCCGTCTAGCACCAGGAAGAAAGATCTCCAGGCACAGTACAGGTTCGTTAACGTGAGCCACCTTGAGAGGATGGCGCTGAGGGTCACCGGAATCGTCCGTATGACCTGGGACGAACGAACCAACATTACGCAAGTTTTGTACAACATCATGAACGAAGGTGCCTCGGCTATACCCAAATACATTAGAGAAATTAATTGTATATGCTTTTTCAAAATTATTATTGCATGCATGATTCTCCTTTTTCTTTGTTGTTTAGGTTATAGCCATGTATTGAACTGAGGTTTATCCCAAGGGTTTTATTCCTGTTGTATGTATTGTCATGGTTTTTAATTTGTAATATATTTTTTATAGTTTGATTCTGCTAAAAATGCCTGTTTCATGGATTCTCTAGTTTTTGATTTGTTTTTTGGACAGTACTTCAAATTCGATTAGTTTAACTTAGTTTTCTAATTGTTTCAATTAAACTATTAGTTGGGATGTTATGCTTTTATTTAATAAAGTCATTATGGATAACGCATTTGTAAGACATATGATGAAAACTTCTACATTGTATTCAGACTCTTTCAGTTGTCTCACTGTAAAATCAAGTCTATCTTCAAAGCCTTTTTTGGTGCATATTCGAGCGTTCTTGGGATTTCTGAATATATTGTGTTGGTTTTGATATGTTTCGAAATGTTTGTTCTGGCATCTGGAAACCTTCTCATATTGATGTTATTATTGTCTGGTTTACTGAACATTTTTGCATAAATTTTGTTTGCTATGCTATGAATTTCTGAATCGAAATAATTACAGTTATTTCGTTGTTATTCGTGATCTCTAGTTTTAATATATTATTCTATGTTTCTTATAATTAATTTATTATGGCTTTTGTATTACTGTTATGGATAGTTAGGTACATATATCTTGAAAGTCTTATTATATTTGTGGTTGTTTTTGTTCTAGTGCTTGATGGAATAAATATACTCTAAGTATGACAGTGTTAGGTCTGCAAATATGGGACTGACATTACTGCTTCGAGATACTCCTATCTTTCGTATAAAGAGGTAATCTGAAAATTTACACTAGTTGCACCAGAATTAGTTGGTAAGCGGTGCTCTAAAAATGAGATATTTGGCGAAAATTGTTGGGACTGTTGTTAAATAGAGTGAAATAAGTCGTTGCCTACTTTAGTAGTTATAGTTTGTTGCCAGTAATTGGTACAGATGTAGAGCGAGACTGATAGGTGTGGTATAACAGACTGCTTAAGGTTATTCTATCCAACTCGTTTTGTTTTCGACGGTCACCTCAACTAAAGCACTTCCCGCTCAAGAAAGGCGTCTTCATTAGGGCATCCTTATCCAAGGATGAACTTGAGCGGAAACGGGCTGACAGGGAGGTTGCTCGCAGCAGAAGGAGCAGAGGCGAAGAGGTCGTTAATTAGTAGACATGTTACTCATTCTGAAAATAATCACTTGATGTCCCCTCAAGCCTCTCGTGAAGTTAATGACTTGACGAATATTTCACAAAATTCAGTTCGTTCTCCAGTAAGGTCGAATATATAGCACCCACACCTGTTGTCAGATGCTTGTCTAAGGTGGCTGTTAGCTAACATTCGCTCAGTTTCAAGGAATGTTGATGAGTTACTCTTTCGAATTCGGCATGCTAACATTGGAATTGTAGCCTTAACAGAGACCTGGTTGTCTGACGTCATCAGTACCGAGTCATTATTTGGGGAGCTGTGCGCCCATTATGAAGTCCTCAGATGTGACAGGCATGAAAGGCGTGGTGGCGGCATCGCTATCATTGCCAAGAAGATCTTTTTCCCTAGGGTAGTATTCATGGAATCGTTTGCAGATGCATATGAAATTATGTGCGTTGACCTTGATATAGCGTCATCTAGCGTTAGGATGGTCCTTGTTTATAAAACACCGTCATGTTCTGCCGCAATGTTTGAACAACTGCTTAAAGCGATTGGCGATTTAGCAGGCATCAATAACTCTGTCGTCTTACTTGGTGATTTCAGTCTTCCTGAACTATTGTGGGAGTTAGGGCCCCAGGCGAATAGCGCACTTGCTTCACGCTTCATAGAATTGTGTACACGCCTGAATTCTCCGTCAGCTCATTTTGAAGCCTACTCATGGAACCTCACATTTTAGATCTGATACTAACAATTCACAGCTCATAAGTAATACAATGATCCAAACACCAATTGGTAATAGTGATCATGCATCTGTCGCTTTTGACATCAACATTGAGGCGGAACAAAATAGCAAAATAGTGTTTACGTGACTTCGGTAACGCAAATTTGGATTCAATCAACGAATATCTTTGTACTGTAGACTAGTATGGATCCTTTCAAAGCGTTGATACACCTAATGAAAAATATGAGTTGTTTTTAGCTGTAATTCATCATACCATCGAATTATTTGTTCCACTCAAGCCTCAAAAGACTACTGGAGTACAGCTTCCACTTCACTTGATCAGATGTAATCGCAAAAAGAATTCAGCTTGGGCTAAGGCAGTGTCGAGTGATAACCAAGCAGATTGGGACGAATACAATAAATTGAGAACTACTTTTGAGAAAAGGTTGAGCAAGTTCTATAATCATGTTGAAAGAAAAGTTATCTTTTCCAAGAATAAGAACGCTTTCCATAGGCTACTCAATTCCAGGCTGGGAAAAGCAAAGGTTTAGGGGTTCTCCTCAAGGAGGATGGGATTGCAGTATGCAAAGATCGGGACAAAGCTGAGCTTCTGGCTGATGTCTTTGCGAAGTCCTTCCAGAAAGGGGATGATTCTTTAGAGTTAGATGCCGTACCATCGTTTCCGGTGATGGAGGATTCCTTTGGTTCGACAAGGAAGAAATATATAAGTTACTGATTCGATGGCCCAGATCCCGTTCGGATACACCTGATCATGTCCCTCTGGTATTCATTAAAAGTAGCGCACATAGTATGTGGACCGCTGGCCTTCCTCTTCACCTCAAGTTTTATGAGCTGAAGTGCCAACAAGGTGGCGCGTTTCATTCGTAACCCCAATCCTAAGAAGCCGCCTTCATACCTGTCCGTATAACTTCAGACCGGTCAGTATAACCTCAATATTCGCCAGATTGTTTGAGAAAGTTCTGAAAAAGAGACTCATGACACATTTGGAGCAGTATGAAATAATCTCCGAAAACCAGCACGGCTTCCAGAAAGGGAAATCAACTGTAACGGGCATGCTCCAGGCTCTCAATGATTGGACAATGTATCTTGATAATGACATCGGAGTGGACGTGATTTATTTGGACTTCGCGAAGGCGTTTGACAGAGTGTCTCACTGTAAACTCATAACTAAACTCAAAATAGTTGGAGTTCATCCCAGAATTGTTAAGTGGATAGAATCCTTTCTTACTGATAGAGTTTATCTTGTGCGCGTTAATGCGGAGTTTTCCGAACCTAGGCCAGTGCTCAGTGGCGTGCCGCAAGGAGGCGTTTTGTCTCCTCTTCTTTTCAACATATTTACATTTGAATTACCTCGTCTTAGAGCAGTCAAGTGCGCTCTTTTGCCGATGACCTCAAAATATATCACCCGATCTCATCTGACTCGGACAAAGTGCTGTTGCAAGCGGTCATCAATGAGGTTAGCATGTGGGCCAAGCAATGGGGCTTACCTCTATCTAGTGAGAAAACCAAGGTGCTACGCATAGGGAAAGTTGATAGCTCGTCCTCGTATTCGATTCAAGGGGTATGTCTAGATGAGGTTAAAGAAATTAGGGACCTAGGTTTCCTTATTCGCAGTGACCTAACCTTTGATGCACACTGTTCGCAAATCGCAGCTAAAGCAACTGCTGTTTTACATAACATGTTCAGGTCACTCCTAACCAAAGATTCCCTCGTATTATGTAACCCTAGCTCTCAGGAGGAAAAAATTTGACCTAATCTTCCTTACAAGATTCTTCATCTACGCACTGGTATTAAACCCTCCACTCTTTTTTGCTGTCAGAGAGTCAATTACTAGAGGTAGCTCTAGTAAGCCGATTATTCGTCTGCAATATTAGGCATCACTTCTTTGCTAATAGGACCGTCCCAGAGGTTTACTAGACTGGTTGTTGCGGAGCGACCACGAGTAAACTGAACAATTTTAAGGCTGCTTTAGACAAACATCTTACATCATAATACTCTATGCAAGCATCGTTCATCTTGCTAGTATTCACTATTTATAATTTTTTATAAATAGTGAACCAGCAAGATGAACGATGAAGGCTTTTATATTTTCCCTCTGCTTCGACGCATGAATTTCTTTTTTTGTTTTCTACACAGGGTTTGTATCCACGCGCTCATGAATTCTGATAGTTTTGTTCGTAGGCTCTGACAAGGGAGGTCGTTCAGGGCGTGGTGCGCTTTTCGAAAACGGTTTTTTGCATATTGTGGGGGCTCACGCAAGGACCTGAAAAGTGTGCTTCATTTTCGCTGCGCGCTTCCAGGAACGGTAAAAAACGAGTGAAAAGAAATCTTTGGAATCTGCTTCGTCCTGGGCCTCTATACGGCGTAGGTCAGCTTGCAACTTTGACCAGTTGCTGAGTGGGGGTCCTTATAAAGGGGCTATTTGAATCGAAGCGAAAAATCGCCGCAAATGAGCTTCCAACTTGGGTCATGTGCTCAAAGGGTGAGAACGGCTTCTTGGGGCAATGGTTTCATCAACGATAAGAGCGCTAGCAGTGTCGAGCATCGGATGGTAGCGGGTAGAGTGGTGGTTCCGCAATCGGGCAGTGAGGGTGGGGTTGGTGGTTTGGCTCCCCTTGCGTCGTGGCTTTTTGCATTTTTAGAGAGGTTATTCGCTTGTTCTCGGCTTCATTGGTGGGTGTGCCGCGGCATAGATTTATATAACCTCGGGATATTTGCCATTTATGTGGCCAACATTCTGAGTAGCTAACGCTCATGAGATCCCAGTGGGCTTATTCAACCTATTCCGAATTTCAACGGCCATTGACAAGAAGTGTTGCTGGACGTTGAGCCCCTCAAATAAGGCCTATAATCGATTTATGGACGATTTTGGGGCCGACAGTCTCCTTCTCCACTGAATCCCGTGTATGTACACCAAATATATGGGAACGTTTTCAAGCGCTATTGCTTGTCGCCAAAATTGGCGGACGCCCCGAATAGGTGTTTTACTTTGGACCAGGGCCACTGAATTACCCTAAGAATGAATTTTCTAAGTCAAAAACGAGGATTGTTTGGTAACCTTCTTGGGTTTGCTTATTGGGTTGTCCGGACGTCCGTAGCGTCAACGATACGTCATCGCTGTTACGAAGATGTGAGACTCCGCTCATACTGCCGACCAAATGGTCGGCCACCTACAAAAACACGAAAAAGTCAAAAAAGTTTTTCCCAGCAACTTGCTCCTAGGGGTAATCGACAGTCCTGATCACGATTCTAGACTTTATTTTCGGTTCCAGTGCCATCTGGCACCGGCATAGCGCCGAAGAGCTGAGTCTGTGCATACTAACGAATTCGAACGAAAAAGCAGTTTTGCTCCATAAAAGTAGGATTGTTCAGTTTCATCGTGAATGTTTTTGTTAGGACCAATTATTTAGACAAACATGGATCCAAAAAATGAAAAATTGTAGAAAAGCAAAATTTTGTCCTCGGTGGGATCCGAACCATCGACCTATTTTTTACGTTTTTTATTCGTAGAAGCGCGCAGCGAAAATGAACCTCAGTTTTCTGGTCCTCGTATGTGCCCCTACAATATGCACAAGACCATTTTGAAAAAGCTCACCACGCCCTGAACGACCTCCCTTGTGAGTTCTAGTAGCGCTGCAGTGCTGCGTTTTTGTTTATTTGGTTTCTGTTTATTTGGTTTTTGTGTGTAGTGTTTTTTTTCTTCTTATTGACAGCACACAGGACTAACTGTGTAATAAACAGTTACAATTGTCTGTTCTCGACCAATACCACCTAAAATCGTCGTCATTAGCGGGCGCGACGTCGCACGCGACGCCCACTGGCGCGGCGAATTCACGATTCTCTTGCCACATACCCCGAAATATGGCTGTACACTTGCGACGCGCCGATTTCTTTCCGTTGGGGACCGACCTACGCTTTGTGTCTTATCTCTCGCTCACGCGACAGTATTTATCTCGTTTGAATAGTCGATCAGTCATGGGTCTCATCGCCTCTTTGATGGTCCTGTAAACTTTTTTCTTTATTCTTCTTTTTCTATTTTTCCTTCTTTATTGGTGAGTTTATCAGTGTCCACAAAACCACAGTTGTAAACTGGAGCTCACGAACAGTAACCACGGATTGTATCTTTCAGTAGAGCAAAGTGAAGCAACCTTGTGGAGGTTACTTTTTAGGATTGGAGCACCCAAAACTGCTCAAGCGATTCCTTATCTTTGTTCTAATCCTACATGCGTGTATACGTGGTTTCTACAAATCAGTGGTCAGAGAAAACGTGTTCGATGGCTACCTTTCTGGAATTGGAGTTGGAGCTCATTCCAGCATGGTGTAACCATAGAGACAGTCCTCGAGCTGGAGCATTCGTAGGCGTCATTTTTTGTACAAGTAGTCTGGTCTTCATTCTCTGATATTATCCCACTTGCGCAGCTTCACAGCAAGTAGCGGAGGCGCTGCGGCCCTCATAGTCGACAATCCTAGTTGCCTTGCCTACCGAAACTCAAAGGCAATTTCTGTCACGAGTTGAGTTTTTGCACAACTTTTTTCTCTGGTAGATGGTATTAGCATTACATGGAAGAAAGTGATTAGTGAGTCAGAGGTTTTTCCTCTCGTGAAAAATCAAGTAGCGACAATTGGCTCTGTAATCGAACGCTGCCGTCCACATTATACAATCGCGAGGTTTGGCTTCAAGCTTTCATTGCT